GGCGCAGACTGACCCCAGCCATCTGGTTCATGAGGCATTGCTGCGGCACCTCGACGGGCGAGGGAAGTCAGGTGCCTGAGCGGCTCCCTCGGAAAAGACAGTCACTGGCACTTGGCAGCGGGTAGACATGACCCTGAAGTGTAATCGCCAAGTGGTGCCCCTGATTCGCCCCTCGAACTATCCGATCTCGCAAGTCGGGCAGGCCCCAGAGCGCCGCACGGCACGCGGGGGCAGCCACAGCCACGACGGCAATGAGAGGCAGGAGTGCCCTAGTCAGCCCTGGTGCCTAAGAGAAGCTCAACCAACATGCCCTCAGCATCACCACCCCGAATCAAACGAACGCACTCTTGTCCAGTAAACCTGACGGGGCAATGGAGGTGCTGGGCTCCGACCACGAAGAGACATAATGTAGCACAGCGCTGGAACGCCCGTGTAGCCAGGAGGAGGACGAACACCAGACTCCCACCCTTTCGGTTGGTGGCGTCACCTTTGATTATAGCCGGAGCGCAGTATCCCCAAACAAGGCTTTTAAACCCACTGCTGTTTCCAAGGTCGATTGCGTGCCTGTCCAGTGCGGGCTGGCATGGCATGTTAGAACATGATAACATGATGTTTACATGATGTTTGCACACGAGATGGTTACACGAAAACTTGTGTGACGCATGCCTACCAGGAAGCTAACACCAGAGGGTGTCGTACTCTCTCGCACCTGGTCGACGAGCAAGCTGTCGGGTCGGCACCGTCAGAGGCTCCACCGCCATGCTGTGAACTCGGAAGCAACTGTAAGAGTAAGCGGGGGAGGGCGCGGAAGCGGGGGGGCATGTCGTGATGGTTCCCTTTTGTCGCCCCAGTTGCCTTGGATGGAACGTATTGGTCGGAGGCCTCGTTGAAGACCGCCGCAGCGATGGCTCAATAATATTGCAGCGACGGCGACCTCTATTCCAACTTGTAGGGGGCAGACGGATCAACCGCCGACAAGCGGCATTGATATAACAAAACAGATAGAAATGTTTCTCGAATGCGCAAGGGGCATCAGGAAGTTCGGTAGAAGGTCTTGGGGGTTTAGCCAGGCTGCTGTGCATCCTCCTCTTCATCCCGAACGGCATCTCGAAGCCCAGAGTTGCGAGGATGTCTCCAGCGTAACGGGCTGGACCACCTCGCGCGCGGCATCTCGGACCCCAGAGTTGCGACGATGTCTCGGGCGAAACGTGCTGCGAGGAAGTCTCAGGCGAAACGGGTCGGACCACCTCGAGCGCGGCGTCTCAGAGCTCCGAGTTGCGGGGGCCTCCTGGGGCCTCCTGGGGACCTCCCGGGGCTTCCTCCTGGGCCTCCTGTGGCCTCCTGGACCCAACATGGGGCTTCCTGAAGCCTCTTGGGGCTCCCAGCGGGGGATATCTAACATGTGGCCGTCTGGGCCCCCCAAATGGGGAGCCACAAGAGCAGGAAAAATCACCGAATCGACACCGGATGTGTATTAACTTGACACGTTCTGAAAGGGGGCCTCCTGGCGCCTCCTGGGAGCCTCCTGGGAATCTGCTGGGGACCCCTGGGGCCTGTCTTGGGCGTCATGCGGCCTCCTGAAGCTCTGGGGCTCCCAGGGTCCCAGGGGGGATATGTAACATGGTCTTCTGGGCCCCCAGGCTGGACCACCTCTTGCGCGGCATCTGGGAGCTCAGAGTTGCGAGAATGTCTTGTGCGAAACGGGCCGGACCACCTCGCGCGCGGCATCTCAGAGTCCAGAGCTCAGAGTTGCGAGGATGTCTCAGGCGAGACGGGCCGGACCACCTCGCGCAGGGCATCTCAGAGCTCAGAGTTGCGAGGATGTCTCAGGCAAAACGGGCCCGACCACCTCTCGCGCGGCATTTGGGAGCTCAGAATTGTGAGGATGTCTCAGGCGAAACGGGCCGGACCACCTCTTACGCGGCATCTGGGAACTCAGAGTTTGGAAGATATTTCATGCGAAACGCCCAATCCCGGACAACTCAGAAACGAGAGTTGCGAGGATGTCGCAGGCGAAACGGCCCCGACCACCAAATAATTGTTAGGACGTCTCTGCTTTGAATTCCCTCGGCCAGAGTGAGCTTTTATCGCAACAGCACCCCGTTCAGCAAGCTGTTTGGGGAAACACCGGCCCTGCGCCCCTGCATCCTTTTCGGAGCAGGGCTGGGGACGGCTTCAGGCCTACGACCAAGTCCGCCTTGAGCAGCAGCAGCAGACTCCCACCGAACCCGAGGATACGGGGGGCGCGCAAGGATCTGGGCCAAGGCCCGTGCGTGTCTTCGGGGGAGCTCTCTCTGCACAAGGACTTGCGAGGGCGCCGCGGCCCCGCGAGGGACGTGAAGGAAGCGACCGCGACGGTGGTCTGGCCCGGCTGTCTTCACGCTCGCTTCCGCAGCGACGCTGTGGTGGCGGCCTTGTCGGCGATTGATTGCCCGACTATGTCTGCATTGGTCGCTCCACTGCTGACGTTCCCGCATGGGGGCATGATGCCCGGAAGCGTGCCACGCAGCCTGACAGTTCGGCATCCGCTGAAGGTGCGAAACGAGCTTGCTGCAAGATCTGTAAACACGCACACGTGACTGGCAAGCCGTACCGCTAGCCGCTGGCCCATTGAGTAGGGCACGTGTTTTTGTACGCATGTGGTTTCCAACCTGCGTGCGGTAAGGGCTCATCGGAGGTGAAACCGCAATCATAGCAAACGTAGCGAGCTTCTTGCTGCGCTGCGTCAGCTGGCCCAGTCACTGGGGCAGCGTGCGGAAGCGCCGTGCTGATGAGGGAATTCGACTTTGCGAGCTCCTGTTCACGTACATGTTGAGTGAGTACGCCTTGTGACTCGCCGCGCGAACCAACGATTCGAATTGGTGCTTCGTGGATCTCGTAAGATGTACCTAGTCACCATGCGCCCCTCCAGAGGTAGTTCCGCTTTAACGCAGGGAGTCTTTAACCAATCGAGACTCTCACAAAGGAGGGCTATCGAGGTCTCAGGGACCTCTGAACGGGACGCGCTTCGGTGAGCCAGTTGCTCGGTAAGCCAGCTCGCAAAGGTCGAGACGAGAACCTTAGGCGGGAAACCCTCATGACCACGCCCTGGCCCGGTCGGCTGACACGTTACAAGACTTCCTTGTGCGACTGTTGCAACCCAAGAGCGGTCCTGTAAAATTGTTGTGAAGGCCGGCGTTGGGAAGTTACTTGCCACAGTGTTCGGCGTAACGCACCTTAGTGGTCACAGGAAGTATTCCTCGTTGGGTCGGGGACCTCTGCACGGGACACGCTTCGGCGGCAACATTGGCCGCTCGGTGCACAATCTCAGGATTCTACGAGAGGATATCAGCAAGCAGCTCCCCACGACATCTCACCACTCGACAGGTTGCGTCAACATGAACATTAATCCCAAGGGCGGGGGCACTCCGAACCTGCAAAGCGAGCCCCTGTGAGCCCTGTCCCGCCGGGGTAGTCAGAAAGCTGGTCTGAGCCATTCTGTGCCCTCGGCTAATCCCTTTCGTCGCTTACTGGAGAGGCTGGGCAATTATGATTGTCCACGGTCTAGTTTGCGCGGCTGGAGTTGATCCACACCTGGCCGTTAGTTCATCTACAAACGAGCTTGTGCCACGTTGCAGGCCGACGTCCCGCGGTGTGGAAAAGTGACCGGGCGGGTGGATTGGGGAAGGGAAGGGTGAGGTCGTCGAGGGTGGAACGGGGCTGGACGTCTATGACTGAGGCGGGGAATCTAACTTTCAAGACGCAGGTCGCAAGCAGAGCGCCAGGCTTCGCATCCAATCTGTAGCCCGTGGCTCTATGACATTGTCAGAGCCCTCGAGTCTGGGCATCAGTGAGTGCGAGAGGGTGGACACACCAGAGGCGCGGCGGGCCACAGCGAGCGGTTCCACCCGGACGGGAGGCAGCACGAGTCAGAGCAGGGTGAGGGCCGAGCGTGTCGATGGCGGCGCGAAGGGCCTCCTCTCTTCATCTGGAAGGTCCTCCACCTGCTGGTGTTATGATGTTCCAACCTACTTTAGCCTTGACTGCGAGAAAGAATTTCGAGCACCAAAAAGTACCGAAACGCGAGGGTTTTCACGCGTCGGGCCCTGGGAGACACTCGCCCGACACTGTTTCGACACTCTGTCGACACTCTTTCGACACTTTTCCGGGTGCTCGAAATTATTTCTGGGTTGTTGTCCTCAAGTAGGATGGGAACAACATAATGTTGGTGTGCAGAACGCCGCCTGTGAGTCAGCAGAAGCAGTCACGCGTCACGCGAAGTATGTATACCCACACGTCTACCGAATGCCTGAAAAATTGCCTGGGAGACCAAATCAGTCCCCATCCCCCTTCGACCCCCGCATTCTCGAGGCTTCCACGGAGCACGTTATATCTTGGCCAACCTGGGGCCTAACATGTATGCGACAAGTCTTCGAGATCGCATTACACACGAGAGTTCTCCGTCTGGTTGGGGCATGCGGCATGTCTGATGTCAGCCAGGCCTGTGCTCATGGCGACACCCGGAGCCTGTTTGAATGCCATGTGTTCCCGTCACCAGGACCTGGCCTTGACAAGACAATCCAGTGTGTGGTCGTACTTCTTGTCCGTGGGGTAATCTTAAGCAACTCAGATGGGACACTTTCAGATCCCTTGCTCCAGAAGCCTCGAGTGGACCTCGTCGACAAGGGCAATCGGTGAGTCGTGGGTGGAGAACGGGGAACGCACGGCAGCGAAATCAAGCTCTTCGGGCGGCACTTGGTACTGCGTGGATTCATCGGCAACTATGGTAAGATGCTCCCACGGCTGGTCAATCAAAAGATTGGCTTCGTCAGTGCGACTGCCTATTGCCTGCTGAAGATTATTGGAAGGTCTCCCTTTCTAAGCGTCTGGGCCAGGGCAAAATGACGAGGGATAGAAGACACAAGCCCCTTGCGTCTGATGGCCTGAAGAGTTCTTCGAACCGTGCGCCTGATCCTCCTCCTCCTCCTCCTCCTCCTCCTCTTCCTCCTCCTTCTCGTCTCGAGGAGACCTGCCCGTGGTCGCGCGCAGCGAGCGACAACGTGGTCCGCTGCCGGGACCTCACGTCCTGCAGGAGGGGGAGGGGGGGAGCAGGATGGCAGGAGAAGAAGTCTTCCCAGATGAGGTGCGTCCTCTCCCTCCTTCTCCCCCTTATCTTCTTCCTCCTCCTCCTCCTCCTCCTCCTCCTCCTTCTCATCCTCCTCCTTTTCCTCTTTCTCCTTCTCCTTGCGTTTTGCAAGCTTTGGTAACCAACCGGAGCGTCTGTTCTCCTCGTTATCCTCCTTATCCCCGTCCTCCTCCTCTTCGTCCTTCTCCTCCCTCTCCTCCTTCCCCTCCTCCTGAAAGGGGGAAGGGAGAAGTGCACCCAGATGCGCTGCGTTCTCCTCATCCTCCCTCTCCTCCCTCCCTCCCTCCTCCCTCCCTTCCACTCCTCCTCCTCCTCCTCCTCCTCCTCCTCCTCCTCCTCCTCCTCCTCCTGCCTCCTCTCTCCTCCCCCTCCCCTCCGTCCTCCTCCTCCTCCTTCTCCTCCGCCCCTCCTCCCTCCACTCCTCCTCCTCCCCTCCTCGTCCCTTCTCCTCCTCCCTCTCTCCTCCCCATCACCCCTCCACCTCCTCCCCCTCCTCCTCCTCCTCCTCCCCCTCTCCCTCTCCTGCCTCTCCTCCCTCCTCCTCCTCCTCCACCTTCCTCCTCCCCCTCCCTCCCCCTCCTCCTCTCATCCTCCCTCCTCCTCCTCCTCCCTGACTTCCACCTCCTCCTCCTCCTCTCTCCTCCTGCTCCCCTCCACCTCCTCCTCTCCTCCTTCTCTCCTCCTCCTCCTCCTCCTCCTCCCCCTCGAACCCCCCCTGACCTTGGGGGGAGGCAGGGGGGGGCGCCCAGAGAGCGGAGAGGGGCCAGAGGCCAGGAGGCTCTGTGCCAGAGGGGAAGGCGGGGAGAGCGGGGCCGCAGCGGGGGATCGCAAGTCCACCCCGGGTCTCTCGACCAGGCGATCGCAAACGGGCCCAGACCCCGTCGCCTTGTGAAAAAGTGGGGACGGGAGGCTTTTCGCCATGTTCGGCCCCTGGGGGCCCTCGCAGGGCCTCGGGGGCGTCGAAGACTGATTCAGGAGAAGAAAAACTGGTCCCAGGGAAGGGGTCGAGACCTCTGGGGGTCGACGTTGCGAAAAAATCACGATGTCGGGGGATCGCAAACACGGATCAAGGGGGTGTGGATCAGCGGCAGGTCCCGTTTCCATGGGAAATCGCGGATTTCCGCCGCCGAGCGAGGCGGCACTGGCCGCATTTTGGGGAGGTCACCTCCGAGATGCATAATTTTGGCTACCGCGCGCCAAATCCACGGATCGCTAATCCATCTTTGCGCGCCCCCGAGCTTGAGCTAGTTGGATGGCTGCGCTCGACGTCGTGGCTGTCACAATCTAGATCAACTGGCACCCCAGGTCTCTCGAGCATCTTTCAGGAGGGAAAGAAACACACACAGACACAATTAATTGTCGATTCCCCAGAAACTATGGGAAGATATGGGGAGTGGGGGGGAGGACAAAAACCCAAAAAGTATAGGAAAATATGGGGGATATTGTTACGTGTGTGTATTTATTTGTGTGTCCCAGGGCCCCTTCCCTTGTGGCCGTGAGCAGCAGGCACGCTGACGGCTGCTCCCGGCGAGGCTGCGGAGGGCTCTGAGGTCCTCGAGGCCGTTGGCGTCGAGGAGGCGCAGCTCGGAGGGGGCCCAGTCGAGACAACGGCGGTCCTCCCTGGCATTTTTAGCCTTCTTCTTCTCCTGCAGGAGGGAAAAAATCGGTACACAGAATTGATCCTCGATTACCAGGAAGATGTGCAAAAATATGGGGAGTGGGGGGGAGGAGAACACTCCAGCAAAGATTGGAAAATATCGGGAATCTTGCTATTTGTGTGTATTTCTTTGTGCGTGTCACTTGGCCCCTTCACTTTTGGCCTCGTCGAGGCTTCTCGTCACCACGGCTGGATCCGTCTCGCAAAACGGGTCGGCCTGGACCCAATGGGGGGGGGGCCCGGGGGTCGATTTTGGGCAGAGTTGGGGGCTGGGCGGGAGGGCCACCGTTGTCTCAGTTGGCCCTCCTCCGAGCTAGGGAGCAGGAGAGGAGGAGGAGGAGGAGGAGGAGGAGGAGCAGGAGCAGAGCAGCAGTCAGCAGGGAGGGAGTGGGGAGAGGAGGGGGAGGGAGGGAGAGGAGGGAGGGAGGAGGGAGGGAGGAGGAGGAGGAGGAGGGCGGAGGAAAGGAGAGGAGCAAAGGAGCAGAGGAGCAAGAGAGCTAGAGAGCCTGAGATCAAAGCAGGACAAGAGAGGAGGAGAGGAGGAGGAGGAGGACGGAAGGAGCGAGGAGGAGGGGGCGAGGAGCAGGAGGAGGGAGAGGAGGAGGAGAAAGGAGGAGTGAGGAGCACGGAGTTGCGGAAAGGAGGAGGAGCCGATGGAGAGCGGGGTGGGCATGGAGGCACACTGAGGCTGCGGGGAGGCGGCTGCGGCGTCGGCGGCGGCTGCGCCGCGTCGGCGGCGCCGAGCCGGCGAGCGCGACCGCGGGTCGGGTCGGCGCGTGGCGGCGTCTGCGGCGGTCGGCGCCGGCGGAAGGGAGGGAGGGAGGGAGGGAGGGAGGGGTACGGCCGACCAGGAGGGGATACCGGTATCCGACCTCATACCCTTCTCTTTCTTTCATATCATCTTGTGACCTTCCAGGGCCCTCCTCCCTCCTTTTCCTCTCACTCCACTTCCTTCTCCTCCTCCTCTCCTCTCCTCCTGCCTCTCCCTGCTCCTGCTCCTCCTCCTCCTCCTGCCTCTCACTGTCACTGCTCCTGCTCCTCCTCCTCCTTCCTCCTCCTCCCCCCCTTCGCCTCCCCCTCCTTTTCTTCCTTCAGCCTGGTTTTCGGGGTCTCCAGACCTTGGGATTTTTAAAAATTTTAAAAAATTTTAAAAATTTAAAACACTTTTGAATTTTTAAAATTTTTAAAATTTTTAAAAATTTAAAAGTTTGGGGGGTCCGGAGTTTCTGGGGGGTCCTGGCCGCCTGGTTTGCGGATTTCCCAGGCCCTGGGATGTTTAGAAATTTTAAAAATTTTTAAAAATTTTAAAAATTTTAAACACTTTTGAATTTTTAAAATTTTTAAAATTTTTAAAAATTTAAAAGTTTGGGAGGTCCGGAGTTTCTGGGGGGTCCTGGCCGCCTGGTTTGCGGATTTCCCAGGCCCTGGGATGTTTAGAAATTTTAAAAATTGTAAAAATTTCAAACACTTTTGAATTTTTAAAATTTTAAAAAATTTTTAAAAATTAAAAGTTTGGGAGGTTCGGAGTTTCTGGGGGGTCCTGGCCGCCTGGTTTGCAGATTTCCCAGGCGACTCCCCCCCAGGCGTGTAACGGTGCAGTTTAACAGAAACGGTCTTCAAGATTTTCTGCTACCTCTGGGAGGTTGGATTGGACCCCGACTCCGAACCCAACGCCGACGACGCCGCCGACGCCGACGACGACGACGGCGGGGGCGGCAGCGGCGGCGACGGTGGTGGCGGCGGAGGCGGCAGCGGCGGCGGCGACGACGACGACGACTACGGTCGATCGCCGGCGGTGTCCGATTCGTCCCGCGTGGCCCGGACCGCCACCGGGGACTCGAGCTGCGACCGGAAGGGCCGCTACCGGAAGGTGCGCTGTCGGCACCCCGCGGGCCGCTACCACCTCTCGTCGTCGCCGCCGCCGCCGTCGTGGTCGTCGTCGTCGTCGTCGCCGTCATCGTCGTCGTCGTCGTCGCCGCCGCCGCCGCCGTCGTCGTCGTTGCGGTCGTCGTCGTTGTGGATGTCGTCGTCGTGGTCGTCGTCGTCGTCGTCGTCGTCGTCGTCGTCGTCGCGGTCGTCGTCGGCGGCGCCGTCGTCGTCGTTGCGGTCGTCGTCGTTGCGGATCGTCGTCGTCGTCGTCGTCGTCGTCGTCGTCGTCGTCGTCGTCGCGGTCGTCGTCGGCGGCGCCGTCGTCGTCGTTGCGGTCGTCGTCGTTGCGGATGTCGTCGTCGTCGTCGTCGTCGTCGTCGTCGTCGTCGTCGTCGTCGAGGTCGTCGGCGGCGTCGTCGTCGGCGGCGGCGGTGGCGGCGACGGCGGCGCCGTCGGCGGCGGCGGTGGCGGCGACGACGGCGGCGTCGTCGTCGGCGGCGGCGGCGACGGCGTCGACGACGACCACGACCACGACGACAACGACGACGGCAGGGCTCTCGGGAGAGGCATTTTAGATAGGGCGATCCCTATAAAACGGAGGGCATTTTCGATGGACCGGTCTCCCTAAAACGGGATGGGATTTTAGGGGGACCGGTCCCCCTAAAATCGGATGGGATTTTAGGGGGACTGGTCCCCCTAAAAATGGCCCCTATTTTAGGGTGACCGCCACCCTCGGCTGATGGCTCGAAATGTCCGTTCGGGCGCCCCGTCTAGGCACAATCTTGGAGTCGGCTTGGGGACCTCTCAGGCCGTTTTGGAGGCGGCATGGGCCGCCTTGGGGCCTTCTTTGGCCGTCTCGGAACCATCTTTGAGACCTCTCGAGCCGTCTTGGAGCGATCTTGGGGGTGCATCTTGGGGTGTTTTGCAGGCCTCTTGGGAGAGGCATTTTAGAGATAGAGATCCTTATAAAGCGGAGGGGGCATTTTCGATGGACCGGTCTCCCTAAAACGGGATGGGATTTTAGGGGGACCGGTCTCCCTAAAACCGGATGGGATTTTAGGGAGACCGGTCCCCCCAAAAATGGCCCCTATTTTAGGGTGACCGCCACCATGGGCTGAGGGCTCGAAATGTCCGTTCGGGCGCCCCGTCTGGGCACACTCTTGGAGTCGGCTTGGGGAACCTCTTAGGCCGTTTTGGAGGAGGCGGCATGGGCCGTCTTGGGACCTTCTTTGGCCGTCTCGAAACCATCTTTGAGACCTCTTGAGCCGTCTTGGAGCGATCTTGGGGGCATCTCTTGAGGTGTTTTGCAGGCCTCTCGGGAGAGGCATTTTAGAGATAGAGATCCTTATAAAACGGAGGGCACTTTCGATGGACCGGTCTCCCTAAAACTGGATTGGATTTTAGGGGGACCGGTCTCCCT